TTGAGGAAGTGGAGAAAAGATAACTTGATTAAAGAGCGAATTTTGAGAATGTGTCTAAACTTCAATTAACCCATTTGAAAGATGAGGAACTGTACCGTTAACATTAAAAAGTTATCCAAGACAAGATCATGCTGCTATTAGAAACTGCGAATCAAAATGAATCTATGATCAAACTCTGGTTATATAGTCAGTCACATGCAAAACTGAATAATCACCAGAGGCTTATTCAATAATTTTTAAGATGACATTATGGTAATTGGATTTTATGACTTATCTTTTAGAAAATGGAGGTACCTTATAATTGCTGAATTCGTGAGCTACCTAACTCACCGTTTTATCTTGCTTCTGAATATTTCTAGTTTTGTTAAGTAAGACTATTTAATCTTCAACCAAGTTTATGGCGATATGTTTAAATTCTGTAGTTATTGATGAAGATCTCTGCTCGTCAAATTGCTAAAATTGCCAACCCTTTGGAAAAACTTCGTCACACTATAGAACAGGTCAGATTTATGTATTGGAACATTTTCTGATTTCAATTTTGTCCTGTCATGTTTTTGATGAAATTTGTCGTGATATTTAATTGCTTGTCACCTTGGCAATATGAAAGTTTCACTTTTTCATTCATGAGACCAGTCTCTTATTATTATATGCCTAGGATGCTGTGCATGTTAGATGTGCATGTGCAGGAGGCAGCGGATTCAAAACCTACTGATTTAAGCTCTTGAGTACATAGTTTACTAGTAAACCTCATGGTTGAAAAATTACGTTATTTTTACTGGCTTTTAAATCTGTTGGAGGCAATCGTGTATAATAGGAGTGGTCGCAGCAGCTGACCCTCCAAGTTTGTAGAAATTGTACTTTCTTTACAAAATGGTAATTTAAGAAAATATCATTGAGAAATATGATTTTGCCTCCTCCACCCATCAAGTAAATAAGCAAATACAATACATAGCCCCGTAAGACATGTATCAAACTATGCTGCCCTCCAAGCTGTAAGTTATGGTTTGGCTACTAGTTGGAGGGTAATAGACTATTTGTAAAATACCAGGCGTTATTTTCCAACTCATACTTTTTACCGCTATGTGAAGGGATAGTTTTTATTATTATTATTACTTTTTTTTTTTGGGTATTCAAGTCAATTATGTAACAAATTTGTTTCCACAAACCAATGACAAGTTCATTGGATTATCGTGCAAACTAGTGATCTTCCCTAGTTGGCTTATTTTGTATGTATAATTTTTTTTCTTTTACTATGTGTGCATGTCATGCATGATTTTCTTCTGTAATATTGTAGCTTTAACTTGATATTTAGACAGGGATATGATGTGTCAGTTAAAGAGCTCGAGACCCTCTTGTCTCTTCTTTCAGAAAAGAAAAGTAAAATGGAGCAGGAAGAAGCTGTGACAAATTTACAGACTCTGCCCGACTTTCTGCTGTGTCTAAAAAAGAGAAGGCTTGACGAGCTCATTGAGGTTATTGAACTTGATTTTCTTGTTTTCTGGCTTTGTCACATTAACCATTTCCTAAGCTAGCTAATGTAACTTTCTTGTGTGGGCAAGTAGAATTTCCATAGGGCTAATAGAAGTTTGGGTGAAACACATTTAGAACAGGAGGGAATATGATTCCACAAACAGCCTAATAGTAGGCTGCATTTACTAGCAAGCAAAGGTTTTCTCTTGCTGTGTCATATACCTTGGCATCAACAAACTTCCAAGGTATCATTTTGGAAAATCCAAAATGAAGAGCGTTTCTGCGAATCTTTTATGAATTATAGGGGTAAAAGATATCTGGTACTTTGAGATGGTACAACACATTCTCTTTTTATGATTATAGAATGTTAACTGGCCTATCATAAGTTCATCGTCTCTGTGAAGCCTATTGACCTACTTTTCTCAATGTTTGTTGTTAATGACGCATTTTGCCCTCACCTCAAATAAACCATGATATCTTTTAATATTGTTTTAAATTGTCATCCATATTCAAGCTGACCTTCATTACATTAAAGAAGATATTCATGCAGTGGAGAGGCGTTGAATAGAGCTGTATCGAGCAGGGGAACAATATTCTGCCAAACTGGATGTCCCCAATTTAAAAAACACGTGGCAATCCCTGATTGATAAATGTAGTGATGCCATTGTCTCTAGGGCCCCTGGAGCACAAGGGCTTTGTCATATGAGTTCAGGTACTTCAGAAAACAGTAAAACTGATGCAAAAACTACTGCTAGTCATTTAATCCCGAGAAAGGATGCTTCTGGTGGATCAGATTCTCAAAACATTACTCAATCAAGCCTGACAATGGCTTCAGCATTACTGCCATTACACCATCTCGTTAATGTTTGATCCTTTTGGGAATGACAGATGATAGTTTAAGTAATGAATGGAGGAAAGTCAATTTTTTTTTATCAACAGAGGCAGACTATAAGTGGTGATTGCCCAAATGCGAGTTTTAAGAATATGTTATAATCCCTGCAAATTATTTAGGCTTATTTTTATTTGGAAGTTGACAGACTTCGATTAAGTATTCTGTCTTTCAGGCATGCAATTTTTCAGCTCCTATTGAAGTGCTTTGAATACATCAGCTCAATTGTTGTAGTTGCTAAGTACATATATTAACGGTCACCGCTGAAACTATCAATTTGGTTTGGCTCTGTGTTAAAAGTAATTTACTCTTTGTCGAATTGTTCACCATAATTTGTTAAGTTGCAACAGCTTAATGATCTACGAGATTGTCATTTGCAAAAGTGAAGGTATTGGGTGTCGCAGGAGCAGCAACAAAGGGATTCGCCTGGATTGAATAGGGAAAGTTGCAGTGCAGGTCTTGAGGTTTTTCAATCTGTTCTATCTACCTTCATGTGATACAGGTAAGTTATTTTTTCTCCCCAAGAGATTTTACGATCTCTTGTTTAAAGACAACTCACAGGGTAAATTTGTTTGGTTGGTCAATTAGTCGGTTACGGGTTGTTGCAGAACTAAGGCATGGAGATATTTTTCACTCAGCTAATATTGTATCAGGGGATGTTGAGTTTTCTGAATGTTGCGTAGACTTTTCTCAAGTTCTACTATTCAAAAGAGAGCAGAAGTTTGAACCAGATCTTTCAGCACAGCTTAGGTATAGTAAGCCAATCATTTGAAGAGCATTAAGGTCCCAGGATGACTGGAAGTAGTATATGGTTAAATTTGGAACTTTTATTTACTTTTTTAAACAAGTGCTGACGATGGAAGCGATTAAATCACTTGTTAAGGCCTGTATGGAAGTCCTAATGTAGCTAAGATTTCCTTTGTTTCATTGGCGCCTCCTGGGAACAGTGGTGCTGGCTTATCTACAAATCAATTTAGTCTTATTCTTTTCACCAATCAGTTCTAATCTTAAATAGTGGGGAGACTAATACTATTTAGGTTTTGTAATGTCCATATGTTCATCTGATAATAGTGGTAGTCTGGGTGTATGATAGCCACCATCTGAAAATCAGGAAAACCCGACCATATATACCTCTGGAGAGTCTTGAAACCTTGAGGTCTTTCGTTTTATCATTTTTTTGAATCAAATAATGGTTATAATCTCTTTCAAATTGTTTCTTTTCAGACCTCTCTGTCTTGTGGAAGGTTTACCCATATTGTGCCTCAAAATTTCTTTTAACTGCTGCAGTATAGAATTTGACAGAGATGATGAATTATTTGCTACTGCTGGAGTATCAAGGCGTATCAAGGTTTTTGAATTTTCATCGGTTAGTATTTGGAAATGTTCCAAAACTTATTGAGACGGTGTAGTCTTGGTTTTTTGGAATGGATCTGTTTATACATCATTTGCCATTTTTATACTGTAGGATGGGACATTTGTTTATAATATAGGCATAGTTGCTTCAACTTTCATCTAGAATTTGTGTTTACACTATACAAAACATAGATGTCAGATTTTTTTTTCCCAATAAAATTTGTTTTTATAAATTGCATTTTCTATGGAGATGAAATTCTCCAGTGAGGCTTCACTTAACATTTCAGGTCCTAACTTTCTTGGCAAGACACTGTAATATGAATGCGATCTTCTTATGATCACTTTTTCAGTTTCAAAAAACAAAAAAAGTTATATAATGATTGCTCTCCAGATGGTTAACGAACCAGCCAATGCGCAATGTCCTGTTGTGGAAATGTCCACATGATTTGGAACAAGTACACAAAAAATCATATAGCGAGTAGTGACTACGAGGGCATAGTAACTATTTGGGATATGACTACATGTCAGGTATTATCTAAGCCAAAGAACTTGTCTGCTCGTTCTCCTTTGGTCCTCACTTTCAAACTACATATTTATTTGTATCTATTCAGTGTGTGATGGAGTACGAGGAGCATGAAAAATGAGCTTGGAGTGTTGATTTTTCAAGTGCGGAGCCTTCAATGCTTGTATCTGGCAGTGATGATTGCAAGGTGCTTGAATTTTTACTGTATTATTCTCGAGGTGCTTCTTTTGTATTGTAAAAATATTATCATCCGTACGACAGAGTCTCTCTCTCCTACTCTAGGGAGCAATTTACAGATCTTGACAGCTTGTGTTTCAAAATCAACAATGATTGTACAATTTGATTGGAAAATTTGATCATAGGCAATAGGACCTGAGTGTAGTGCATGTTCGTCAAAGCTTATAATTCTTTATAAGCAGTGGGTGCCAAAGAATGTGTTGTTAAAAAGTATGTAAAAGTCGTGGGTCCTACGGAATATATGAATAAATATAGAGTTTGACCAGCTTATGAGCAATTGTTATAAATAGGAACATGATATATCCACAACATGTTTGTTTTTGAGAATGTATGGATAAATACAGAGTTTGACCAACTTATAAGAAATTGTAATAAACAGGGGCATGATACGTCCAAAACATGTTTGTTTTCGAGACTCAAGTGAGGAAAATTTATTTGTTAAACTGTATGGAATCCATATCTAAACTATTAAAGATTTTACTTTAAAATGGAACTCATCTCGTGGTGTAATTATCTTGATAAATTAAGGTATGCCTAATATCAAATGTTCAACAGGTCAAAGTTTGGTGTACAGAACAAGAAGCAAGTGTTCTCAATATTGACGTGAAAGCTAATATATGTTCGGTCCAATATAATCCTGGATCTAGTATCCACGTGGCAGTAAGTTCATCTTTTATTTTCTTTCGGGAATTTTATTTATTTTGTCCTATGAGCTTAGCAAAAATAAGTCAGAACATACTAGCAAGATAAATTCTACACAAAAGGTCTAATGCTCGTGTATCTTATAGGTTGGTTCTGCAGATCATAACATTCATTATTTTGACTTGAGAAATCTTAGCAAGCCGTTGCATATCTTCAATGTGCATAGAAAAGCTGTTTCTTATGTAAATTTTTTATCCAATAACGAGCTTGCTTCTGCATCTACCGACAGTACATTGCGCCTCTGGGATGTCAAGGAAAATGTGCAGGTAAATGATGATTCTTCCAAGGCTATAATTTTTTAATTCTGTTCATATTTTGTTAGCAGATATTTTTTCTTCAGGAAGTATTGGAACTGAAGCACATGAAAATTCAATCTTTTCCCTTGATCCAGTTTGAGACTCTCCAAAATTTTGAGCTGGTAATCAAATAAGAGATAGGAAGTTAAAGAAACTGAAAGAAAGCTTAATAAATGCCTCTGCTGATTAGTTTTCAATTGAAAAACATAGTTGCAGGCTGTTTAACCTTTCATGCTAATCACGTGGTTCCCTGAATTATGGTTTCCTGAGTTCCAATCAGGACTGGGATCGTCTTCTTTGGCTATAAGTAATATTTGATTCGTTAAATCACTCTTCGAGAATGTTAAAGTTGATTTGATACTCGTGAATTTCTCCTTCAGCTACGCACATTTAGAGGACATGCGAATGAGAAGAATTTTGTCGGTCTAACAGTAAATAGTGAATACATAGCCTGTGGCAGCAAAACAAATGAAGTGTTTGTCTATCACAAGGTATGTTGATGTTCGATGGAAAATGTCATTCTTACTTGAAACTAGATCATCTCGTGTTTTAATCCGAATTCGGGTTTTGTGCAGGCTATTTCAAAACCAGCAACTTGTCATAGATTTAGTTCTGATACCGATGAGGCTGATGAAGACGCTGGCTCATTCTTCATTAGTGCTCTCTGTTGGAAAAGTGAGAGCCTGACTATGTTAACAGCTAACAGTCAAGGGACAATTAAAGTCCTTGCACTTGCTCCTTATCAATAAAAACCTGCATTACTTACTCTGTTTAGCCTGGAATGTTCAGGTTATTGAGTAGCCATTCCTTGTCAATTTGTTTATATTTTTGCATTTTGTATCTCAAATTCTCCAAAATGTAAATTAATTGTTTTTTAAATTTCAAGAGCTGCCGCTTTGAAACCAGATGGATTAAACACGGCTTTCAATTTTCAAGGCCCGTTATGTCATGTTCCCCTGTAGGCCCATGAAAAAACTGCGACCCTCCCTTCCTTTGTTCTTGATCATTCATTGTGCTTCATCCTTGTTTGGTCCCAATTTTTTAAAATTCATTTTTTTTAAAATTTATTTTNTGTAGGCCCATGAAAAAACTGCGACCCTCCCTTCCTTTGTTCTTGATCATTCATTGTGCTTCATCCTTGTTTGGTCCCAATTTTTTAAAATTCATTTTTTTTAAAATTTATTTTTAATTACATATTTCATGGGACTCACAATTCTTATTCGCTTTTCAATCACGTATTTCATTGAATTTAAAAAAAAAAATAAATAAAATCCGATTTTTATTCAAACTAAAAAGGGCTTTTCAAATATGTCTTCCAATCAATGAGTTCCTTATTATATTTGTGGTTTCGGATCATTTAAAAAAAAAATTAGAGATTATGTTTATCATGTCATAAAAATTGTTAATTTTCAAATAGAAAGAGATGGACGGATGGAAAAAATCGAAGTCAAAATATTTTGACTATTCATAAAAAGTCTAAAATTTAGTTGTAGTTAAGAAATAACTTTAAAAGTACATATATATATATTTATTGAATTGATATTAATTGAACATATCATAGATTATTTAAGGGTAATTGGCTCAAAACGTCTCTACATTTGCCGGTTTGTGTGCAAAACGTTCATACCTTTCATTTTTTGGTGCAGAACATCCCTACATTTACATTTTCTTGCGCAAAACGTCCTTTTCGTCACTTTTTAACAATTTTACTCTTCTATTAAAATAAAACAAACACAAAATAAAAGAAAAATAAAGAATAAATTACAATTATGGGTTCGAACTTTTAAAAAGGTGCAAATTAGTCACAAATATGAATTAACCATTGGAAAGCAACACAAACAACCAGATTTGCACACCATTGGAAAGCCCTTATCACAACCATCAATTACCACCAAAAATCCAACCAAAACATCCAACAAAATTGAAGAAATCAACCAAAAAGGCCAGGTACATGCGAAACCATTTTCTGCCGGAATAACGCCGTCCGACGAAACCCATGGGCGAGGACACCTGCTGGCCACTTCCCCACACCTTGATGAGCCCTCCCATGTCGGCAATTCACCAATAAAAACTCCCAAGCAAAATGAATTAATTCTCGAATAGTGCCCGTTGCGATACTCGCAATCCAGCATGAGAAAAACCTTAATTCCGGCATCGTCAACTGCAGGCGGACCACATGGGCTAGGTTTGCCCTCACCTGGTGCACCTAGCCCAGTAATGGGCCTCCATCAATTCGACCCAACCAACCTGAATTTGATTCTGAAATTCTCGAAGGGACAAACTCGCGAACACAAAATTTTATTTCTTTCAATTTGGGCGCCGCTCGGCCAAACCGAGCTGGCGGACCACCTAGACTAGTCCCCCCACACTCTGGGCAACCCAGCTCAGCCCTGGGTCCCATCCAATTGCATCCCAAAATTGATGAATTTATGATTGGATTGTCCCGACAGATAATGAGTTTATGCAGCTCGGTTTTTTGGTTGATTTCTTCAATTTTGTTGGATGTTTTGGTTGGATTTTTGGTGGTAATTGATGGTTGTGATAAGGGCTTTCCAATGGTGTCCAAATCCGGTGGTTTGGGTTGCTTTCCAATGGTTAATTCATATTTGTGACTAATTTGCACATTTTTAAAAGTTTGAACCCATAATTGCAATTTATTCTTTATT